GTCATCATATGCATTGCACATCATTTTGTGTTAGTGAAAATTTTGATATGCATACACTAAAACAAGTTTACCTTTATGTTATATGTGTTGACTTGTGTGGATTGAATCAAGTTCAAAACTTTTGTATTGGATTGGATTTCTAAAAAACCCTAATTTCCAGTAATTTGTTTTACCCTGGAAAACTTAATTCAAAATCTAAGCACATTTTGGGGTTGAGCGTAAAAGCAAAAGTGTAGAGCTTGTCAAGGTGTTTAAAGTTGATTTTTGGAGTTTTCAAAGTTGTTTTATAAAATTTGAAGTAATTTAAAAAGGCGTAAATTCTCAACGTGTCCCCTTTTGATTTCAAACTTGCATTTCAAAATGTAGACCGAATTTGGGTATGGTTATAAAAGCAAAGTTGTAGAACTTTGAATTTGGAACAACTTTTATTTTTGGAGATTTTTGAGTTGCCACATAAATTTGGGAGTAATTTGGGATTCTACGCGAGTGGCAATTCTGTAATTTTGGTGAACAGTACCCGTGGGCGACACCTCACCGCCGGCGACCTTCTTCTGGTTTCCAAGCGCTCGTGGCCATCTTCGGATTTGCGCTGGCGAGGAGAAGGCTATTGCGTGGCTTCTTCATCCTTCCTGGCCGCATTTTAAAGCCTCCAACGTCGCTGTTCTCCTCCGCTTTCTTCCTTTGCTTTTCCCGTCGCCACCGTGCTGCTCCGTCGAGCTCGCACCGTCGCCTTAGCGCGTACCAGCCTCAGCAAAGCCTATCACAGCTCCGCCTGTTCTTTGCGAAACCAGCCGAACCGCCCTTGTAGCTTGAGTTCGCCGGGAAACATCGCTCGTTGCTTTTCTTCCTCGCGGCCGGCAGCGTCACCTGTGATCCTGCTTCACCGTGGCCGTAGCTCTACTGTTAGCCTCTGCCCTTGTGAAGTGTTGCTCCATCTTCTCCATGTTGCCATGATGCTTTGTGCCTTGTTGCTTAATCATTTCATCCACCGCAATCACCGGAACAACGCCGTCAACGTCTGCTTCGCCGGCGTGTTTGCTGTGACCAACAATGAGCTTTTCCGTTGCTCCTCCAGTCCATCTTTCTACTCGAGCGTGTTTGGGGTGAGCTTTTGATGCTTCCTGGGCCTTTTATTTAACCGCTACCGGCCTCCCTTCACCGGCGTATCATTGCCGCACCGCCGTGTTCGCCATGGCCAACGTCGAGCTCAGTTTGAGCTGTAATTGCTGCAATTAGTGCCATCAATAGGTGCGCCTCGTCATGGTGATCACGTTGGTACCCTCGCCGTCGCCGTTGATCTCACCGGCAGCGAGAAATCGCCGGTCAAAGTGCGGTCGTCGCTACTGCACGCGGGAGTACTGTGCTGACGAGTGGGGTCACTCTGTCAGTGACCGGTTGTTTGAAAATAGAATTTTTCTTTTTTAGAAATGAATGAATAGTATAAGTTTTTGTTATTTTTGTATAGAATTAAATAGGGCTCCAAAAATTATGAAAATTTTTGTGTGACCTCTCTGAGATGTAAACTATTTAGGAAAAATATTAAATGTTGCTTTTCAGTACTTTTTGAATATGATAAAAATTGCACAATTAATTAATAAATAAGTTTTTCTGATTTTTCTAGGCTTAAATAATTATCAAAAAATTATGAAAATTGTTTTGCCACTTAGTTATCATGTAATGAACCTTTAAAAAATTTTGATCTCAATTGGAGAAAGTTGATTTATTTCATAATTTTTAATTAAATAATTAATTCATAAAAGCAAATAGTAAACCTTAATGATTTAGGTTTTGTTTGAATTTTGGATTGAGTGATGACCTTGGGTCATTAGCATAAGATGATCCTTGGCACTTAAAATAAGTGTTTAAGTTTATGAAAAATGTTTAGTTAGTTTTGGCTTGTAACTGTACCATGAAGGAAAGTTGTATTCAAGTTATTAATTTTTGTGTCCATCATCAAGCATCATGTTTTATATCTTGCATCATATTAAACATGGCATTGTTACTACGTGTAGTGAACGAAAGCGAAAACGTGGTAGTCAATCAAGTTGTTAAGGAAGTTAATCCGTCTGTTGAGGTCGGGTTTGATATCTGTGGAACGTCTCTGGAACCTGACGTTTCCGTCAATCAAGGCAAGCCCCGGATGCATTTAAACCTACCTTGTGTTTTACAAATTTATATCGCTTTTGCTTTCAAGTATTGCATTAAGTGATTAGAAGTTGAGTAAAAACCTAATTGGTGCATTACCAACCTTGTCTTTCCATATCAACGTTGTTACCAGTTTTACTTCGAGAATGCCTAGTTATGCTTAGCCATGCTTAAATAGATAAAGGTCGGGTGATTACCTGTCACCTGCGAGCTATAAATGGGTTTTTGATACTACTGGTTATTTATGTTATCATGAGATATGAGCATGTGGAGTAATAAATCTAGTCCGGGCGGACTCGGTATGTGAGAGCCACAGGATATGGATGTCTTGTGAGCGGGTTCTTTCCGCCTATGTCGATTAAGAACCGTCCGTTATTGAATTGCATGAGGTGAGACTTTGTAGTATTAGCCACATACTCCGGTAAGCCTTAACTTGGCTATTCTATTACGAGAATGGCTACTCGCGCACTGGGAGTGGAGAGATGGCGAGAATAGCGTGTACCCACGTGGCAATGGGCTGGATTGGTGGAGTACTGTATTCTCGGGTGGCGCGGACCCATTCTTGTTTTAGAGGGCCTGATGGTAGGTTGGTATATGTAGGTCAGGGACCTACATATGTCGTGTGGTTGGGAATCCCCAGCTGGGTTATATCGGTTCGAATCGTCGTTGCTCCTCGGTTATGGAGATTCAACTCACTGTTCATCATCGTAGTAAATAAATGGAACTTGAGTAAGATTTGAGAAAGAGTTTGATATGAAGTTCATGATCTCATTACGGATCATGGCAGATTCATATAAGATCTTGATAAAGGTTTTAAATGTTGAAATAAAGAATCTTGTTAGAGAGCTTTTACGCAAAAGAACTTTGATTATTGCTAAAGCCATACCTTGAATCCCTGAGCCTGCATTCCTGAGTCTTATCAGTTTTTACTTCGATTAAGTCTTGTTGAGTACTTTTGTACTCAAGGTTCATTGACCCTTGTTGCAGGTGAGCCTCATGAGCAGGTCTGCTTTGGATCGTGCTGCATGACAGTTGTTCAAATCGAAGATGATAAATGAATGTGTGACCCTTGGGCAGGGTATTTATATTGTGTGTTTGGTATTATGTTACTAATGCCACTCCACTACTATGGTTTGTACTAATTATCGAACTTAGTTTGTAAGGTTTGAATCAACTGTTTTGTAAACTAAGTTATTGTAAGACTTCCGCTATATTTTACTCTGATGGATATATTTGAATAAACTGTTGTAATACGACATTGACTCTGTAATGGGATCCTGCTCGGAAATCGTGGATGATTCGGGGTTCTCCGAGGACACCCGACAGTCTTCTTAAGTTACCGAGAACATATGCATAGTCGTCAGAAGTCGTTGGACAGTGACAGGTGCATGTGGGTCCTATATTTTAGGAGGTTCTGCCATAGCTCGTTTCTTCGCGATCTTGCATCCGGATTGGTTCCTATCTTTGTGCTTGGACTTTGCTTGATATTTTGGGTCTTATCTTATGCTTCTAGGGTCTTGCTTATGGTGTTGATCATGGGATCATCATGTCGCCTTCGTTCAAGTCACGTCTTGCACCCTATTGAACTACAAAATAATTACTTGTAAATTCATTAGTCCAATTTGGTTGTGTTGGTCATCAAACACCAAAATCCAAAGTAAATGGGCCTAGGGTCCATTTTCCTTACAATGAGGACCCAATGAGGGTTGGGTAAGTGACTTTTGCATTGGATCCGGGTTCATGTCATTTTTATGTGCCTTCAAAGGGGTACAAATTTTGTATAGATTCCACTTAGGACATGTGTTAGCTATAGTGGCATGGTAGGAAATGGAAATAGTAGGATTGTATGCCAATGTAGGTACATGAAGACCAGCAGATTGTTGTATGTGGAGTAGACCAGCAGATTTGTATGCGTCTGTTTCTGTAGTTGTTTCACATGTATGGTGGAACTGCTACTAGTTTTGTAAAGCCTCCACTAATCCCCAAGTAGTAGTGTTATGGACAAAACAATTGTAATTTGAGATGTCATGTCAGTACGAGGTGGTTGTAATGCGCTGTTGTAAGGAGTTTGAGTGCACAAAAAGTGTTAAAGTACACATCACATCGAATGTTTGCGGCCCATGCATGGAGCATTTGTACTAAGGAGTTTGAATGACCTGTTATTATCAACGGTTGTAATGGGTGCTTAGCCCAACTGTTGATTTTTATGGAATGGAAGCCTTGTAAGGTTGGGTTCAGGTTGTGGGTGATTGGCGCCACTTTTGAATGCATGCTGGTGTGTTGGCGCCAAGTTTGAATGTTGCTTTGTTAATTCAATTTTGAATATGGCTGCCGCTGCTGGCTGGTATTCCTGTACCAGCTGCTTTCAGATTAGCCATTTCCAGCCTGATATTACCAGCCGAACGGTGGGAGTCTCTCCGAGACCATGCCATGCCCGTGTTCCCCGCCAGCCTCGAGCCACGCCCACAAACAACAGTGGCAACGACAAATCAGCATCAGCAACAAACCTTTCTCTGTTCGCTAACTTATTAACCGTACGTTCCAGCGAAATAATAGTATTTTTCTCTTATAATAAATCAGATCAGCATCAGCCATTTTTTCAGCCAACTAAACAGGGCCAAAGCGCAGCTCGCACGACAGCGATTAACTTAATCAATGGCCACATGCATGCATTAATTTCTCCTCTAGAACTAGCACTAGCAGCCACAACACAAGTATCTAATCCTGGGACTAACTGAACATCACCAATTGATAGTAATCATCTACAGACACTGCTACAAGGTACGAAGGTACAGTACAATCACGGCAGATCCAAAACCACCGTGCTACGAGTGCGAATCGCCAACAGATTCCCACTACAGCAGAAGCTGCCGCAAATGGAGGCCGCATAGTGTTGCCAGTGGCGCCACCACTACCCGAGCAGATACCACCAGCGGGGCGGCCGCGGCCGACGCGTCGCCGGTGGCCATGTTGGCGAGCCAAGAGACGCCGCCTTCGCTGCTGCTGCTGCCCAGAAGCACGCTGCCTTGGTTGTCCCCGCCCTCGATGCCCAGGCCGCCGCCACCACCCATCGGCATCGCGCTGTCCGGGGTGGCGTCCGTGAACGTCGTGCCCGGCATCATGGTCCCCGTCGGCATCGCCGGGGTCGCGCCCGGCATCGGCATCGTCCCCGGCACCGTTGTGGGCGTCGCCCCCGGCACTGTCGTCGTCGTCGTCGTCCCCGGCACCGTCGTCGGCGTCGAGCCCGGCATGGTCGTCGACTTCTGGCTGCGCTCACGTGATGGGTACATGTACGTACAACAGCAGCGCAACCGATCAGTGTTCATATGCTCAGTAGTACGGACAAAAGCATTGCACGCAAATGGAAAATAACGCCCAAAAAAGCTTGCCCATGCACTTTTCTTTTCATCCTATATCTGCTGCTAAACCAAAGATAAAAAAGATTATGCCTAGATCTTGTACTAGATAATAGCACCATGTTCCTACTTCCTAGTCTTTACCCTTTTTAGGAACAGAATGATCAGTAGCTTACTAGATAATGCGAGCTAAGTACTGGTTTAGTAGGTAATTAATAGCTGAAAAATCTTGCAGTAAGTCAGCAAGCTCTGACAGTTTTAGTGACAAGAGGAGCTAAAGGACGACAGCAAGGCTGTGCTGGCACTGGCAGAGACGGTAAAAGAGCTGCGGCAGATCAACCCCACATTCACAAGCCAAGAACCAGCCAAAGATCCAGACAATCTTGGCAGAGGCACAGTGCCAAATCTTGGTTCACCACTCTCTCCCCTCAGAAATTGCAACATGAATGATGAGAATGAGCAATAAATCATGCAATGGTCGGAGAAGAGACGGGTGACCCGTGAATCGAAGGGCGGACCTTGGTGTGGCGCCGGGGCAGAAGGTGACAGTGTAGTCTGGGCCGCCGCCGCAGGTGAATGTGGAGGTGGGATCGTCGAAGGCGTAGCTATAGGACCGCGGGCACGCGGTCTTGAACACCTGCGAGTAGGCCGTCGGCCGGCACGCCGCCGGGGACGCGAATGGGCCGCTGCAGCAGTACTCAGGCCGCGCGAACGCGTCGCACGCGCTCCGGCACGCGGCGCTGCCCCCGGCACGGAGCTCGGCGGGGCACATCGCGTTCAGGTCCGCCGCGCACCCGGCCGCGGCGCACGACGCCGGCCCGGTGGAGCCTCCGCCGCCGGAGGTCTCCACCAGCACGGGGAGGTTGTAGCCGTCCACGAGGCTGACGTCGTAGAAGTCCAGCCCGCCGCTGCCGTCGAGCGTGAACTCGGCCAGCGTGGCCGGCGGCGCGGCGCCCGCGCCCGCGCACTCGGCGGAGCCAGAGCCGCAGTCGCCCGTGGCACAGACGAGCCGCCCCGTGGCGCCGTCCTGGGAGCAGCCCGTGCGCGCCCACATGCGGCCGGACCAGCCCGCCGGCGCCGGCACCGCTCGCGCCTCGCCGGGCGAGAGCTCGAACCCCGTGGGCTCCAGCCTTGGGCTGCCGGCGTTGGACAGGACGCCCGGCCACACCGTGTCCGTGCACCGGTTCACGAATGTGAACGTCGCCGCCTCCCCCACTGCGAGAAACGCGAATCCTTGAGCTTGGTTACCCGCCATTGCTGGTGACCTCGCAAGATCTGGCAAAAGAAGGAAGCATTCGGTCGATTTGCCGAGAGTTCGTTACCTCTGCACAAGACGAAGAACACGAGCACAAGCACGGCCATGGATCTTGGCGACTCCATTGCTGCTTCTTGAGGCAATGCAGTGACTGAGACTGACGGAGTAGTGTGGGTACAGCTGCACTGCAACAGCAAGCACGGGGAAGAAGTGTGTGCAGTGTCGCTATGCCAGTGTGACCGTAGCGATGGCGTGGCAGCGTGACCGTCCGGTTGACTTCGCCCTCTCCGACTGCTGAGTGCAGTCAGGCAATCTCCACCGTTGCCAGCAGATCGAAGGCTATCAACTGGGATCAGGCCATAAGGGTCACGGGTCACGGCCCAGCAGCAGAAGAAATCATTAGCTTGACATCTTGTTTGCTGAAGGATTCTAATTTACCTGCCTCATCTCGTCCGATTTTTTCTTCTCTGATCTACTAGTGTTTTAACATCTCTAAACTTTTGAAAACCATTCACTTTTACACCCTGAGTGATTTTGATGGTCATTTTGCTGATGCGACGTCATGTCAGATGGGGTAAATTGGACTAAGTTGAAAATTTCAAGGAGATAAATCGGACTAGAAATATTTCTATAAAAGTATAAAAATTTATAAAAATAAAAAAGTAACCAAATATATTTTTACATGAAAAATATATAATTAAAAATCATCAAACCTAGTTTAATCTTGAAAATGACCCAATCAATTATTTTAGCTTGAAAAATTATGAAACTTTTTTAAGATTTTTTTAAAATCATCCTCTATGTTATGCTGCCTGCATGGAAAGTGTTTGAATTTTGATGAACTTATTTTGTTACTTATTTTCTAGTAGAAGTTCACGTATCTATTATAGTTAGTCGATATTGATCATCGGAACTACACAGAAGTGCCACTGAAGCATTGTCAGGACCATAGTGGCCATTGGTTCCCTACCCTAGTATTTTTTCCAAAGTATCTGTGTTAGCATGCGTGGCTGCATGCACCTTGCCGCACATATGCATACATCCATCGACCCCTTGTTTAATATATACTTAATTAAGTTTTATAAACTATTAAATTTAATTAAGTTTTAGCGCAATGAATTATAGAGCATAACGTGGCATGAAATCTAGATGGTAGCACACGAGTCATGATATTTGTACACATAGAATCAAGTGTCATGAGGTATTTGAAGCCATGCACCATAACATAGAGCATAATTTTAGAAAAAAAATTAAAACTAGTTTTAAAATTTTTTGAGCTAAAACAAATATCTATGAATTTTCTAAAACCGGATTTTAGGATTTTTAATTATATATTATCATGTAAAAATATGTTTGTTTACTTTTTTGAATTTTTGTAAAATTTTAGATATTTTTCTATTAAAATATTTCTTATCTGATTTACCTCTTAAACTTTCAACTTAGTCCAATTTACCTCCTCAGGTGTGGCGCCGCATCAGGAAAACGACCATCAAAACAACCATCAAAACCATTAGGGTGTAGAAGTGAACATTTTTCAAAAGTTGAGAGATGTTAAAAAAACTAGTTTTGTAGATTTGCAGGAAAACCAGACAACCACAATAGTTAAGAGGTAAATTAGAATTTTTTATGCAAAAACAAGATGACGAGCGGATAACATATGGGGCCGCAATATACATCTTCCGTTGTTGCCCGTGACCCGTGACCGTAATCCCAGTTGGTACGCTCCAATATGCGAAGTCACCCTTTGATCTGCTGGCAACGGTGGAGATTGCCTGACTGCACTCGGCAGTCGGAGAGGGCGAAGTCAGAGGATCTCGTTCCGGTTGACGAGGGGGGACTGAAGGAGAGAGACCCCGGCGCACCCGCAAACCTCCTCTTCCCTTTCCCTAGATGGAGGGATGGGCATCCACTGGGACTGGGAGCGGGGACGAGAAGGAATCTTTTGGGAGGCCCTAAGTCCGTACTTATAGCAGCAAATCACTTTATCACGCTTTTTACCTTTGTTATGATCCCTGTTTCCTGGGTAAAAGAGAAAGCTTGGGCATGGGTCTTCACTGTTTTTGTTATTGATAATTGAATCATACCCCTCGGCCCCCGAATAATGAAGTGTAACACTAGAGAAAACTCCTATAAAAAAATTTATCCTCAATTGTTTTATAATATGTTATACTGCCCATGGAATAAATAGATTCATAGCGTAAAAAATTATCTATAAATAAATCAATCTCTAGCGGACTAAACGGTCCGCAAGTTTATTTATTTTTTGAACCCCCTCTTATATATCACACCCCTATCTTTTTCGTCTTTTACACCCATCCAGATTTCAGTTTCTGTAGTTAGATAGGTGCAATAAATGATATAATTGCTATGCAACTCGAATAAGTATGCAACTACTCCAATTAATGAAGGGTGAAAGTGCAGTTAGCCCTTTGGTAGGTTTTGCATAAATGAATGACAACGTGATTAAAGGTCTAACCCGATTGCTAAGTGTTGGACAAGAAATGGGTTATCTCATATGTATTTGATGAAAGGCAAAATGATGTGTTGTTGTATACACAATCTAGTTCAAACACAAGGCAACAATGCAAATGTAATTCATGCAAGGCTTATTCATGGTGGGATTTTGATGACTCATATGAAAGCGAGCACCTTGAAAAATAATTAATGAGACATGGAGGATTGCATATGGAATGGTCTCACTTTTTAGAGCTTGTTATATTGAAAGATAATTACACAAATGATCTTAATGAATGATTCAACAAAAAGTGTGACCTGATGGCTTGAGATGGTGAAGATAGCAAGGAAAAGCTTCGTGGTACTAAGCAAGGTTGAAGGGCAAGCGACGGCTTGGCGACCGAGGAACCTAGCTAGGGTGAAGAAGGAAGTACTTGCATTTAGTTGAGGTACCAATCAAACTATGATGGTCACATTAAAATGGAGGATCAAACATATTGGATGAATTGTGGAAATGACTTGATACATTTAGAGTTAATTCACATTTATTGAATGGAATCAAGTCACATGCTCAAGATAGCTATGCTAAAGGAGAAAATCAAAATTAACATAATGACACCCTCAGTTGATGAAGATTGAGAGTTATGGCAATTGGTTTTGAAGGGAATCAACTCAAGCAGTTGAACTTCTATTTTCATTTGATCTTGAGTTAATAGGTATGTCATACTATTAAGAGGGATGCATCATGTTGAAAAATACTTATTCATAAGTGCTCAAGCCAACCTATGTGAAGTTCGAGTGTTTGAGAGCTAAAAGCGCTAACCTACGTTTGCTGAGACTGGCAATACCGGACGTGTCCAGTATTTGCTCATCCACAACAATTTTCTTGGTGTTCTCAGTATGGTTTGTCGGGAGTTTCGACAAAAGTCGGGAGTTCGAAGTCGGAAGTTCTTGCAATCATTGGGAGTTTCGGCGCCTTGCAGCGACACTAACTTAGTCACTGTTGGAGCCATACGGGAAATACTGGATGTGTTCGGTATTGATACTGGATGTGTCCGGTATCCCTCGACGGCTAGTTAATGACTAGTTTTTCAAAGGGGCTATAAATACCCCTTAACCTCAACCTTTGGAGGCTGCTGATTCTGCTGACATTCTTACATGTTTTTGAGCCTTGAGAACACTCTCCAACCCTCTCTTAGTGAGTGATTATTTCAAACTTGCAAAATCTATCTTGTGGGTTGAGTGAGATTCAAATTGAGAGCAAGCCACCCTTGAGCACTTGTGCATATTTGTTGATCTCGTGATTTGCATTTGTTACTCTTGGACTCTTTGGTCCTAGACGACTAGACGTCGCTAGAGATTACCCAAGAGATTGTGGTGTGCCTGGAGAAGTTTGTACCACTGCCGTAAGGGAAGGAATCAAATAGTGGAAGGAAGAAAAGGAGTTGGAAAAGACTCGGCTAGGGTGGCCTTTGTGGTCCTCTAGAGCTAACCTTCGCTGGGTCGCTCATAGCCCCCTCAACGGAGAGTAGGACTCGATGGAGTCTGAACTTTGGTAAAACAAATATCGTGTCTCGATCTCTCTTTACATTTGGTATTTGTGATCTTTGTGTGTTGCTTGAGCTTGTGAATAGGTTACTATATGGAGCCAGCAACTAGGTTTGAGAAGCGACATTGATGGGGATGGGGTTCCCAATCTTCCGTCAAGTTCAAGATAACTATCGATTTGGTGGAGATGGACACACCGATCCAGCTTCAGATCACAAAGACACGACCCTACAACCTTAGCACCACGTCTCCTCTGGTTATCAACCATGTCACAATCTGGTTGACCTCGCCAAGAAGGCTAATCCCTGCTGCAAATCGAAGAACACAAGCAAGAATAAGATACCACGCAACTCAAGTGAAGTGACGATTGCAGATATACGATTAAGATCTCAAATGTGGGGTTTCACAAACCGATAACGACGATTGTTCAAAGACAAATTAATCTAAAGCAAAACTCAAAACCCTAATGTAGGCGATAGCTACTAATTATATAGTCTAAGGGGTGTCAAGGACCCCTATTCATGTCCCTAAGGAATCCCGACACGTTACAAGGCCCAAACGACCCAAAAGACAACGACGCAGGGCCCTGACAGATCCTAGATGCCAACTTGTTTCGACGATTCCTATGGATTTCGATGAAATTTAGATATGGGACCACTTCCATTAGTTACCTTATCAAATTAACTTTTCATCCATATGTGGATCATCGAAAATGGAGTCCGTATGCGACTTGGGTGTCCGTTTTACTACACGATGCTCCTAGAGCCCAAGATGGACTCCAACTTGACTTGGATTGGGCCTCCAACTTGGCTTGGACGCCCTTGCTTGGCTCCTAAGGTGGTGGCCATGGAGGAGGACGTCCTTGGGTATCTCTTAGGTATTCTCCATCTTCTTGGGGCATGCTCCAACTTGGTCCTGAGTCCCAAGTGTGAATAATAAGCCCGCGACGACATCGTAGCACCCAATGAAACAGTGTCAAAATGTCTTGATGATTTGTAGACCTTGCCGATGTGATATGATGGTGGGACCAAATCTATTTGAAAGCTTTCCATCAAGTGCTCATGGACCTCAAACTCACTTTGGATGAAAGAGTTATGGCCTTCCTAATGGAGTATTGTTGTGG